ACTAATGAAAACAGCCCTTATTGAGGCTAACAAGGATTTGAAAGATCATCGGAGTGCTAAATCCTGGTTTCACAAACTTGTTCCAATAAACCGTGGTTTTGTATTCCATCTGAACGGACACACTGATCACACCCGTGTATGATAACTGTGAGCTCCAGAGTTCCCCAAGAAGATACCCAATCGACAATTATCTACCTAGTTAATATTCAGTCCATCCTTCCACCAAAGAACGATGGTTTAATCCTGATACAAAAATCACAGCAACTGAGGAATTCCCAGGCACAAAGAACCAGAAAATCTTTCATTGACCACCATGGGAGAAGGAAAGGGAGAGGGAAAGGGATGTGTGCATGCAAGCATAGCAATCACAAGCCATCCTCATGGCCAGGACACAGTATCTTGTTCCAAGACACTGAAATGCTGGACAACACATCCAATTACCATGTCAGATTACACAGGGAAGCCATTGAAATTCACAAACATAAATACAAATTCAACAGAAAAGAAGAGAGTTTAAAAATAAATAGGACATGGTTTCCTGTCCTGAAAAACAGAAAATGCTCTACATCTTACAACAGCAAAACAGATAAGATTAGAATTTCAACAGCCCATCCATATGCAAAAGAACCTGTTCAGGAAAGCTCCTCCATTAGCATGTTCACAGCCTGGGGAACTCCTACAAGAGACTGACTCAGCCCTACCCCACCTTCCTGAGTCGATATAAATTACCTGCCTACCATTTTTCTTCTCACCTTGACACAGAGAGTACTCCATCTTTCTGTGTTATACCTCTGAGGATGCCAGTCACAGCTGCCGGAGAAACATCAGGTCCTACAATGCCAAGACCACGGCCGGACAGCCCGGAAAATCTACAACAGCTAATAATCAGTCAAGCTGTTGCCAAGTACGACCCAGCAATGCCGAGTTCAAGATCAGGTCTGATATCTTGGCCGTTCTGTAAAAAAGGGCTGCACCCTTTGTTGGAATCCAACTCTTAGTTATAAGACACAGAGAACACCGAGGAGGGGGGGGGGCAATCTAACAGTGAAATCCGAGGCAGAGTTACACCCTTCTGAACTGACGGACTCAGAAGGGTACGGCTCTGCTTAGGAGGGGACTGAGAATTATTCAGTGGCCAAATATTTTAAATCAGGGGTGTCGAACTCATTTGTTACGAGGGCCGGATCTGACATAAATGAGACCTTGTTGGCCCGAGCCAGTGTGTGTCATAAAAGGTAATGCCAGGTAGCGGAGATAGAAATGTTATAAAGGACACAAACACAAAGGGTTTTTTTAACTTAAAATAAAGACATGCTTAAAATATTAGCTTAAAACCTACTTATTGGCATTGACCATGGAAATCTCATGCTCAGAATTCTGAGTCTAGGACCCAGGTTAAAACATGAAATGGCTGAGCGATTGAGTCTGGCGGAGCAAAGCTATGATGTAGCAGCAGCAGCAGAACTGGAAGCAGGAGATGGCCGGTTCCACTGTGGGCCTGATGGAAGCCCTCCGGGGGGACCTGATCCGGCCCCTGGGCCGCATGTTTGACACCCCTGTTTTAGTTGGTCAGTTTGGATGTAACTAACTTTTCCACTGGGGATCAAGGAAAGAGAAGTCGTCCTTGACCACAAAAAACCCGCCCCCCAACGGTATTTGCAAGTACAGACGCCGTTTGCGACGGGATCTGGAGTAGGGAGGGGAGTTGGGCGAGACTCAGTGAATTAGCTGGCGGGCTCCGACTTGATATAGTTCATGCAAAATTGCCCTGAGAGACGAGTGTGTCAAACAGAGATGTTAACATGTTGCCTTTGCAAGGTTGTTTTCATAGAAACCATTCATGTTAAAGGCTGCTTGAAAACCATTCCGTTTCGTACTCAAAGGGGAGGTCATGATTTCACTGAACCCGACCTCCCATGTGAGGGAAACTGTGAGGCTGTGTCCCGGAGAGGAAGCAACACAGAAATTAAAGTCAGATATCATAGAGAAAATGGGTTCCTCACTTTTCCAGTTTTTCTATCAGCTCTTCCTTATCCTCCATCAGGACTAGCAGATGGTTCTGCAGGAATTCCAGTTCGGTTTGTTTTCGATATGTCTCCATTCTCTCTATAACATAATATGAGGAACAGAACACCTTTAGCCCCACAGAGTGATAATTTGCCTGTATGTCATAACTCATTTGACAAGCAACACTTTCCCTCAGCCGCAGAAGAGTCCCTTCCAAGGTATCCCTCCCCGTTTCCCACTAACTGTCACTGAATTAGAAAGAGGAACGATCCGGCACCCGCTGGCTTGGCTCGCACCCGGCAAGACCCCTGGCCGCAAGTAGGGAGCCGACTGTTTGACAGGCCCCTTTGCTCGTGAGGGGCCCAATGCGTCCCTCCCCGTTTCCCACTAACTGTCACTGAATTAGAAAGAGGAACGATCCGGCACCCGCTGGCTTGGCTCGCACCCGGCAAGACCCCTGGCCGCAAGTAGGGAGCCGACTGTTTGACAGGCCCCTTTGCTCGTGAGGGGCCCGTCCTGGTCTGCCCGGCCTCCGTCCTTCAGCCCCACTGCCCCACGGCCAAGCCCTCCGTGCCTCTTGTCTCCCATACAACTGCCACTTCTCAGGGCCCTTGTGTATCATAGGACAAGAGCCCTATGTTTCCCTGGTTCCCATCTGAGAAACACACACACACACTCAGTCCTGTGAAGGAAGAAACTTAACAGAGGTCTTTATTATTAACCGATTAATAGGGAGAAACGAAATAAACAGGGTTTGGTCCCCTCAGCTACCAACCAGCCTCTCCCGAAGGTTACAACAGGAGTCGCTGCATTTTATATTTCACATTACATCAGAGGAATAAAGCAGAATTATTGGCTCCATCAAACGTTGTCAAATTTCGTCACCTATTCCCCATTGGGTTAAGACCTGGGGTGGGGGGGTGTTCCCAGGCAGCGTTTTTCTTTTCTAACAGGACACGAGACTTCTTTGGCCTAGGGCCTGGAGTCCTAAAAGTATCTGTATTCGCTGATATGGTTACGAGATGCTCATTGTCTTCTAATGTAGCCAGGCTACCCGGCACATGTGCAGAAGTAGCTGGTTGGCTGAGGCCACAGACCTCAGCCAAACAGCAATATTTTCCCCCCTCTTTATGTATTTCCTGTTCAGGACATAGCCTGAGCCAATGCAGCCCCCTCATAGTTGTTTTACATTAATTGTTTGAATCACTTCTCTCTGTCCTTCCCTCTTCCTCGCCATCCACACATCCACACGCCATCTTCATCGGAACAAAGGACAAAATGAGTTCGCCAGAGAAGTGTTCAGAAATCGAAATCACCTGCTGTGCAGAATAGCCTTTTGTGTCAGCTTCCCAGAATGCAATAGCCACGAGTGAACCAAAGTCTAATGTCTGAATACATTCACGATTGATTTCTGTTCACGTAGTTAAAATCATAAATGGCCCTTAACATAGATCATGGTCATGTTAAGTGTGCCTGCTAAGTGTAACCTGGTTAGTCAGTGGCAGAGTGCAAATTGCTTTAACGGTGTTTCATAAACTGTGCATACAACACTTGTGTGTCTGCTTGGAAATGTGTGCGTTGCAAGGAATCTGAGGCCCAGTCAGTGGATGGCCAATGGCAGTTGAGCCCCGTGTGCCTGCCTGCCCAACTGTCAGGGGGCAGAAGTCAGTTCCTGATTCCCAGTTCCTATTATTTTCAGTTTCTCTTATGATTTGTCTGCAGAGGTCATTTCGGGGGGGGGATCGCAGTTCCCCCGGGTGAGGTACGGGAGGGTGGGGCACATGACGAAGCCCCGCCCCCTGCTTCCGGCCGCCCCACTTCCGGCCCTCATTCAGCCAGGAGGAGGCAGGAGGAGAGGGAGGGTAAGTTGCTTCCTCCCTGCCTCTCCCCAACCCTGCCTGCCTGGGGCCAGGGAGGGCCTTCGCGGGGCTTCCTTGCACTCCCTCATGGGGCTCGGCAGTGAAGCTGCAAGGCCGGCGCCGGCAGCCGGGACTGTTGGGGGCGGGGTGTGTGACCTTATGACACACTTCCGGTGATGTCAGGGGGTGTGGCCTTATGACACACTTCCGGTGATGTCAGGGGGTGTGGCATATGCTAATGAGGTATGCTAATGAGTTCCCCTAGCTCTTTTTCTACGAAATGACCCCTGTTTGTCTGTCTGGTGTTTTTTAATGCACTCCACGTGTTCAAGGCGGTTTCCAAATGGAATCACACCCTCCGATAGCGGCAAACATACAGCTATGTAAAACGGCTTTAAAACCTTCCTAAAAGCCCGTGGCCGACTGATTCAGGACTGCATAAAATAGCAGGAGCCGACATCAGATCAGGAATCGACAAGTCACTGGGCAAGCCCAAGTCAGTGATGGTGTCACCGGCCACGCTGTGACATCACAACGACAAAGGCGCCGGCAGGCTCACAACAGCTGGGGACCTCTGGGCTGGGTTTTCTCCTCACAGAGAGGTTACGGGGGGGCGGGAGCGCTGCTCTGAGCCTGTGGCCGACAGAGTGGCCGGAAGCCTGCAAGGAACTCAGGCAGGGTGCGACATGGAATGGGAAGGCGGAGGTCAGGGCGGCTGCAGAACCGGACACTGGAACTGGAAGGGGGGCAAGTGGGATGACGATGGCCCCTGGGAGCGGCAGAGGTGTTCTGGGAGTGGAACGACAGTCCCTAGGAACAGAATAGGGATGGGCACGAACCGGGAAATGCCAGCTTAGCTGAGGTTCAGGAACCGGATGGTTCCTGAGCTGACTCCCAAACCGAACCATCCAACTGGGCCGGTTCGCAAAACAAACCGGTCCGAGCGCTTGAACCAGTTTGAAAAACGGGGGACGCTCTCTGGGGCCCCAGAAACCCCCGAATTCGCAGCACATCTCCAGATGACTCTCCTCTTCCTGCCCACCAAGTCTGGGGACCTTTGGACTTTAAGGGTCCAAGTGACGGACCCAGAAAGAAGGTGTCCCCAGGAAAGGGCTTCCCAGGGAGCTGTCTGGCTCAGGTTCTGGAGTCCGCAGAGTGGGCCCTGTGCAGGCTAAAGACATCAAACTGGTGGCCATTCTCCAGATTCCTCTTCTCTGCCTGCTCAGCAAGTCTGGTGAAGCTTGGACTTTGAGGGTCCGAGTTACGGATCCCCAAGCGAGGTGCCCCCAGGAAAGCGCTCCCCGGGGAGCTGTCCAGCACGGGTTCTAGAATCGGTAGAAGGGCCCTCGAGCAAGCCACAGACGTCAGACTCACAGTAGACCTCTGCCAGATGCGCCTCTACCTTCCCTCCGAGTTTGGTGGAGACTGGATTTACGGGGGGGGGGCCTACTGGCGGACCCCTCAAACAAGGTGCCCCAGCAGGGTGACATCAGGGAACTGTCCAGCGTGGGTTCTGGAGTCTACGGAAGGAGCCCTCGGCATGCCAGGAGGCATCAAGCTGGCCGAGGTCCTCATGGAGACGGCCCCTCTATGACAGGGCTCTGCCGTCTGAACAGACAACATGCCACGGGTGAATCCGGAGTGCCCTTTGGCAAACAAACGACCCCTCTGAAAGAGGGGGTCTGGCTGCTTACAATCCCCCCCCCCCCAAAAGGAAATAAGACTGGTCGCGGGACTTTGTCGCAATTCCCATTGAGGCTTCCCACAGAGGAAACCCAAGAGCCCAAGGAACTGAGTTAAGGAACCACGAAGTAGGGGGGAGGATTAAGGGGGAGCCGTCGAGCCAGAGGGGGTATGTGAAATCATATTAACAAGACAAGTGATAGAAACATTTGGGGACCCTGAGGACGTTTCTGAGGTCTTTCAGGAGGAGGGACCAGGCTAAAACAGGGGAATCAGTGCCCCAGTGGAATCGACTGCCTTGGGGTGAGGGGGTGAGCTCCCCCTCCCTGGCAGTCTCGATGCAGCGGCTGGACAGACCCTTGCCAGGGATGCTCCAGGGGCTGATCCTGCATTGATCCCCCACCTCCTCACCCATCTCTCACTGGAGGGAGGTGGGGGCACCCCAACCCCTCCTTTAATCCTCTCCTGAGGCCCCCTTTGTGTGCTAAGCGGGGGTGGGTGGGTGTCACAACGGTGGTCCCAATTTTAGCAATCATGACCCCCCTTTAATCCCCTCCTGAGGCCCCCTTTGTGTGCTAAGCGGGGGTGGGTGGGTGTCACAACGGTGGTCCCAATTTTAGCAATCAGGGCCCTCCTTTAATCCCCTCCTGAGGCCCCTTTGTGTGCTAAGCGGGGGGTGGGTGGGTGTCACAACGGTGGTCCCAATTTTAGCAATCATGACCCCCCTTTAATCCCCTCCTGAGGCCCCCTTTGTGTGCTAAGCGGGGTGGGTGGGTGTCACAATGGTGGTCCCAATTTTAGCAATCAGGGGGGGCCCCCCGGGCCGGGGGAACAGTCCTTTGTTAATTAGGGGGGCCTCCCTTGTGGCTCCTCAAACTTGTCCCTGGCCGGCATCATTACCACCGGCCAGTCACTGCAGCCCCGGAGTGCTGGCATCCAGTGGAATCGGCTGCCTTGGGGTGAGGGGGTGAGCTCCCGCTCCCTGGCAGTCTTGAAGCAGCGGCTGGACAGACCATTGTCAGGGATGCTCCAGGGGCTGAACCTGCATTGAGCAGGGGGTCGGGCTAGATGGCCTGTACGGCCCCATCCAACGCTGGTATTCTAGGATTCTATGAATAATTCCTTTTCTTTTTCTCTAAGGGGGATTTCCCCCCCTGAGAGGCCAAATTGGGGTGCATTACATTACATTCATTGCAGTACATTCAACATTCCAATATGCCATTCAAAAAAGAAATACACTCGAATACAGAGGATGTATAGCCCTCCTTGGTGGAAACCCATCTGCAAGGCCTGAATGAGTTTAGCATATATAATGGAACAAGAAACCAAGATCCCTGTTTAGTCCTGGGGAGGCCTTTGTCCCAAGGGTCACAATAATTTGCAATTCAGCAGTGTCCCTTTCCATTCTGCTACAGGAGAATGAACCCAGCCAGCGGGCCAATGGACACAACTCTGACCTCAGGAAGCACAAGGCTGAGAAACCTGTCGGAGAAGACCTCAACCTTCCAGGGCGTTCAGTGGGGGACCTCCAAGCAGTTGTTTGGTGGCAAAGGAACTTCAGGGACAGAATGGGAGGGGAAGTTGCATCCCCTGAAGAACTTGGGGGTCAGAGATGGGAAATGATCAGCAGGGGTTAGGGGATCCTTCCCCCCCCACTGCAACGCCCCCCCTCTGACCCCAGGGCTTCCCAGCACGGCTGCATTCCAAAAGAGGACTGGACTCGACCAACCTGGGTTGTTTCCAAGTCCCGAAGGCAATTCAAACACTCGTCCTCACCTGTCAATCTCCTCAATGTGATGTTCTCTCTGATTGTCACCGTCCGTGATAGTTGCCGTCCGCTCTGTCCAATGCTGTAGTTCACTTCACCTCCTCCTCCACTTCACCTCCACTTCAAATTCTGCCGTCTGCTCTTTCCAATTCTCCAGGCCACCTCTCCTCTTCACCTCCTCCTCCACCTTCAATTCAGATTCCACCTCCTCAACCGTCTCTCACTGGAGTGAGGTGGGGGCGCCCCAACCCCTCCTTTTATCCCCTCCCGAGGCCCCTTTGTGTGCTAAGCGGGGTGGGTGGGTGTCACAATGGTCCCAATTTTAGCAATCAGCCCCCCCCAGGCCGGGGAAACAGTCCTTTGTTAATTAGGGGGCCCTTCCTTGTGGCTCCTCAAACTTGTCCCTTGTTGTCCCTGGCCGGCATCATTACCACCAGTGTTCCCTGTAAGCTGAGTTAGTGTGAGCTAGCTCACAGTTTTTTAGACTCCGGCTCACACATTTTTGTCTCAGCTCAGGAAGGATGGCTCCAGAGCTGATGAAGCGGCCAGGTCGCTCGCTCACGACTTTTCATGCCCAGCAGCTCACAAAGTAGGATTTTTGCTCACAGGACTCCGCAGCTTAGAGGGGGGCCTTGCTCCAGAGCCCTCCTTCCAGAGCTGAGAGGAAAACGTGTGAGCCAGAAGCTAAAAAACTGTGAGCTAGCTCGCACGAACTCAGCTTAGAGGGAACACTGCTGTTCACTCTTGTCAAGCAGACTTTCCCGGTTTTTAGAATACTTCCAAGCAGGGTTGTTAGCCGGATTGCTTTATTTACAGCAATTGGCAATTTACAAAGGTGGCTAATAAATGTTCTAAATTAATTCATTTACTTGAATGGGCAGGGGACGAAGAGACGGTCTCCCGCTAGCTGTGTTCTTGAACTAAATACCTACCAGTATTTACTTTTCCAGTTAAGAGGGAGCTGGAAGACTGTATAACCTCCAAAAGCATGCCTGCTTTAGAGTTCTCCAGAAGTCACCAGGCTCCATGTTCAAAAGTGTGCGCGTGTGTTTAAACAGATAACGTGCAGAGGGGGGGGCGGAGTGGACCCCTGTTGCACCTTCAGCTTTCGGGGAAGGGAAACAAGGCCATTTTCAATAACTACAAAACCCAGTGGTTGATCAAGATCTTCTCTCCAGCACCAAAGGGAGCACAGCTACCCCCACAAGCTGAGAATGGAGGGGAAATGCAGTCGAAGGTCTATTAAATAAAAGGGGGGGTGTAATTTTAGATGCAGTGAGAGACTGCGTGGGGGGAGTCTGGTCTGCTCTCAAAAGCCAGCTAAGGCTACCATGGGGCACAGCTTCCTGGGGTTGTGGAGAGGAAAAGAGGAACACATCTGGAGGAACCTGTACGGACCTTTCGCTGCATGCGGCACCACTGATAACCTTCACACCCCCAATATTGCCTTACCCCCCCAATATTTGAAACCATGGCTTTGAGCAGTGGAAGAGAGGAGGAGGAGATTTATACCCCACCCTTCGCTACCCAAAGGAGTCTCAGAGCGGCTTACAAGCTCTAACAGAAAGTGCTCTTTTTCTAGAACAGCTCTGACAGAACTATGGCTTGCCCAAGGTCATCCAGCAGGTGAAAGTGGAGGGGTGGGGGAATCGAACCTGGTTCTCCCAGATTGGAGTCCGCACTCTTAACCACTACACCAAACTAGCACCAAACCGGTTTGCATGATGTCTCAGAGAGAGCATGGAAGTCTGTCAGCAAGCTGCCATAAGATGCTGTATTCATTTTTCTGTGTTACTTTGCACCCTGCCCATCCCCCTGGTATTTTCCTGTGTAGGTGTTTACTGTCTTTTGCTGCTACATCTGCGGAACTGCTCAAGGTCAACCAGCTGGAGGTGGGATGGAGTGATGGCATTGCTTGACTTATTATGTATATCATGCCTGAGAATTGAACTAGTGTTTATGTTGCACAACCATTGTGTTCCCAAGGAATTGGGCGCTCGTTTTATCGGTCTTCCCGCCAGCGGGAAGTGGACTCATTGGTCCTCACCTGGTTCAAAGTTCCTTTATTATGTTCCCTTAGGGGGCTTGTAGTTATTCCTAACAATGCTTGTGTTCTGATCTATCATCGCTTTATAATAAACTCTACTTTGTTCTTCAAACGTGGATTTATTCGAATGCATGGGGAATCGGACAAAGTCTCGATTTGGACAGTAGGTTCTCGTGAAAAACAAAATAAAACCAGTTTCGTGGTTTACACAGCACTGGCTTTATTGCTAGATGGGGAAGGATTCCTTTCCTCAAGTTAGGTGGTGTCTCCCTGACATTCCCGTGCCCCTATTCCACACCAGAGGCTTTCCTTCTGTCTCCCGTCATGACGCGGGGCCATGAAAGCATATGCACTGCAATAAATGGTGGTAAGGTTGCCAACCTCCAACCTCTACCATGAATAACTAGAGAGCCATTGAGCCAGCAACTTGAGATAGAGAGCAATTGCCAGCCAATATAAAAAAAGAAGGCTTCTAGCCGAATTTAATAAAAGGACTGGTTGCTACTTTCAGAAATAAGTTAACTGGCTCACTCCTAATTTAAATACTTCAAATGGAACTAGAAGTAAGTTAAAAGTTAAAAATGGTTACTTCAAAAATTATAACAAAACAATATTCCATTCAGCTACATGCTTCTCTCCATTCTACATAACCGTATTTGTTCCAGGATAAATCGAAGAAAGTAGAAAAGAAGTGAAGCTGCAATAATTTGAAAATGGAACCAGAAGATAATTTGAAGAAAGCTAAAAGGAACTTAAACTGTAAAAATCTGAAGAAAGTAAAAAAGAAGTTAAGCTATATCAAGAGGCTGACACCTTTCAATAGAATAGGATTACTCCTGAGGAAGATTGGTGAAATGAGTTTATAACCGGGTGATCGTTGAAGATGATGGACTTTTCCTTGAAAACATTAGAATTTCCTGAGTAATACTGTAAAAGTTTCAACTGTAATCTAATTTGATGTTCATAAGATTTATTAAATGCTATTGTCGTTTTTATCACCGTGTTTGTATGTTTGATACATTTCCCGTAACTGTGATCCCTTCTCTGGTTTACTCAACCTCCAGGGCGTGGTGGGATATCGGGATCACAACTCATTTCCGGGCGACCAACTGGAGAAAAGGGCTGCTTTTGAAGGTGGACTCTAAGGGCATGAGACCCCCGCTGAAATCCCCACCCACCCCCGTCCTCGGGCTCCACCTCAAACATCTCCAGGAATTTCCCAGCCTGGAGTTGGCAACCCTAGTTGTTAACCCTTCAAGTGTCCCCGGACTTGTGTTTTCGTTCTTTGCAGCCTGTCTCCAACGGCAACGTCCTCCGCCCCATGTTCAAACCCAGCCCTTCCTTCCCAACTGACAGCCGTCCCCCCCACACACACAACAGTACCACACAGGAGCCAGAACTAGTCGAAGTGAATTTTATTATCTTGAGACAATTGAGCAGCTGTGGGGCGGGGGGGGGGAGATGACCCCTCCTCAGGCCCCCCCTAGAGTTACAGACAGATTGTTAACCATAAAGCCAGATTCAGGGGGAAGGAGGCCTCTGGCGGAGAGCAGGCCTCAGGTGCCCCCGCTCCCGCCAGGGCCGAGCCCCCGTCCACACCTCGTTAAATGGTCAGGAGTGTGTCGACAAGACGGTTTGGACCTGCTTTATTAATGTTACAATAAGTTACAACAGGTGGCAGCATGTGGAAAAGGGGGACGGGGACTGGACCACCACCCTGTCCCTATGGTCCAGCACACGAGAGGGAGAGGGAGACATACACACAAATGCACGCACGAATCTCCACACGCTTTTAGGCTAAAAGGAACTGAGAGGGACAAAAACGGGTGCAAGACAAACAGAGAGGCCCATGGGAACCGGACGCGGTCGGGGTGGGGTGGGGTGGGACTGGCTTGAGGTGCCCGCGTGTGGCTGAGATACTCCAAAAGGGTTCTTCATGCTCCCAGATCCTCAGAGCGAAAAAGAGGTCGCCGTTCCCAGTCTCTCCTCTTGCTATGGAGGGATCGAAGGTTCGCGACATGATCGGGAGAAACAAAAGGAAGGCAGGCTTATTATACAGACGATGGGTCGGGGAAAGGGGTTTGTCACCAGTAAAGGAAGAAGCCAGTATATACTGGGATGGGCACGGGGAGGGGCGAGAATTGTGAGGGTGAGTTTTCAGTAATAATCGGGGGGGGGCGCAGCAGGGGGG